CGAGTTGGTGTGCGCAGATGATGCGCCCCCGCCGAAGCTCCCCCTTTACGTTGTCGTCAAGTTTGAAGGGTACTCGGGGGGGGAATGGTCGTCTCAGGAGAGGTATAGACGTTGTGTCCCTATTTCTCCCGTCGACACCACCTGGCAGGACGGGGGGACGCAGGTCAGGACGCAGCTGCCCCTTAGGCTCTGCTGGGCAATTACGATGCACAAGTCCCAGGGGCAGACTTTAGCCAAGGCCGTCATTGACTTGGGGCCCAAGGAGGCCTGCACGGGGCTTACTTTCGTCTGTCTCAGTAGGGCGAAGAGACTTGTGGACCTCATGGTAGAGCCCATGAGTTTCGACAGGATTGGTAACCTTGGAAATTCGCCGACGATGAAGGCTAGGCTGCAGGAAGAGGTTAGACTTGGGGAGTTAGCACAGAGTACGAGGGTCAAGTACACGGACATGGGCGTCTTCAGCGCCGTCGCGGGTAACCAATGACGTGAATTGCAAAGAGAAAAAGAAGAAGAAAGGGTCTCTTCCACCTCCCGCGGACGCACACGTCTGACGACAGTTACATCTATCAGCTGTCGCTCGTTTTAGCGACAGCTACTATATCTTTTTATTCTCTTCCCCTGTTTTAGTCGACCCCTCTTGTTCTTTTTTCTCTTCCGCCTGTTTTGTTCTTTGTTCATTTGTTCACTTGTTTTGGTCGGTCCCTCGTGTTCTTTTCTCTCTTCCGCCTGTTTTGTTCTGTGTTTAGTTGATTCCTTGTTCCTTTGTTCTTCTCTTCACCTGTCGGTCCAACGCGATGACGACTCCGGCTGGCGTGGCGCCCTCCTTGCGCAAAATCCTGAAGGCTTCTCGAATAGCTGTCCCGGCTGTGATGACGTCATCAACCACCAGCACGCGCTTACCCTGTGCACCAAAAACATTCACAACAGACATCGAGGAACAGCAACGCCAAGGGCACGAGGGTTGCAGTATCATGAAAAAGAAATACACAGGAAGACTACCCTTTCGAGATATGACAACAGTCGAAGGGTATGTGTTGGAGCCTTCGCAGTGAGTGGAGGGAAACAGGCCGGGTACTGTGCTTATATCAAGTGTGCTTGGCTTATTTCGAGTGTGTTTTTACCCGACACACTGATGACTTGTACCAGTGGTACTAGCTGGTGCAGTATGTCAAGGAGAAGGAAAGAGCAAGTCATGGGGGGGGGAAGAGCCGACCCGGACACTAGTGTAGTGTCACTACCGCAAGAGGCCGAGGGAGAGATGGCACCCCCCCTATAAATAGACCGATGTTCAACGCTCGGTCACTCCGCAACCAAAATTACGCCCACAACAAATATGGTGGATTCGGAAACATCTCGTTCGAACGCCTCCATCGACATATCGGTCGCAACCCCTTGATTGTGGGGTAATCAAAATCAACCTTTGAAAGTACAGCAGTAGCTGTTCTAGGGGGGGGGTGTCATCTCCCCGCCCCTTTCGGGAACTCCGCACAGGAGAAGATCACACAGGAGGTTCGATCGAAAACATAAATAAAAACCAAGATGAAAGCGGATTGTATACCTTGAGGTCTTCGCCGACCAACAATCCCCCTTCCCCGTGGTCCTTGGGCTCCTTACGGTTGTAGGAGAAGCCTACGTCTCTGTCGTGCAGGTCCGCCAGCGTGTAGGCGACCGCCGCACCTAGGGGAATACCCTGCGTGGTGAGATACACGGGGAGGTGGCAAGAGCAACCCGAGCCAGAAAGAAGATGCCGAGACAAGTCTTACCAACGGGGAGAATGGATCGAAGGTTTCGTCCGTTCGTTCGTTCCACGGGACAAGGTAATAATACAAGTACAAAAGACCGCAGAGGGCATGTGGAGGAACAAAACACACCTAGAACACACACTGGAGAATCGCGGTCGATGCTACCCAACACACACAGGCACACGAAAGACTGGGACAGAGAGAGGGACGAATTTCCATTGGTCAACCAGTCAGCGCAGTCGATGCTACCCAATGCACGCACACCGAACCTTGTAGGCGGGACCAAAGACGACATCGAACTCCAGCGGAGGGCGAGCGTTCATGATCGCCTCGGCGTAAAACTTGCCCAGCTTAGCGAGCGCGCTCCCCTTGCAGAAGAGGCCGGCGTTGAAAAAGTAAGGGGACTGGCGCTTGGACTTCAGCACGAAGAATGCCTCCCCCCCCTCCGAGAAATCGCAGAATTTCAGCACCTTGTGCGACATCGAGAACTCGATGAACTCTCGCTGGTACGGCAGCAACGCCGTTGTTGTCGATGCTGCTGCTGTTGGTTCCTTGCGCTGATCCGTGCACCGTTTCTGATCAGAGAAGCGTGATAGCCGGGCGCGTCCAAACGAACGCCGCGGGTGTAAGGGTAGGTGCGTAGAATTCCGCATGCATGGGCGTGCAAGTGATTGAGAGTCTATCAGCAGTTGATCATCTTCGGTCCCTACGCATACATCACCCAGTATGGACAGGGTCAGGTTGCGTGAACCAAGCAGGCATTGCGCCGCAGCCCCCAGACGTGCACCTTGATTGGAGACTGAGACATCACGCGGAGAGCTGTTTTAGTAGTAAATGTCGAAGGGGGGGGGGACGCATCTGTTGGCTGCCCGAGGGGTAAACGAACAATTAACGCCATCGGCCACAATTGCGGTACAGCAGTAGACTAGTGGGTCCTGCAAAGTGACGATCGAATAAGTGCCGGGCGCCCGGTATAGTGCCGGTGTCCGGTTTAATGACGGTAAAAATCTCTGGAAACATACCGGCACTATACAGGCACTACCCACTAGCACTGCAGTAACGCACCACACCACTGCTGTCGGTACGCCGCCACTACTGTACTGCTGCTGCAGAATACCTCACACAACTACCACTATTGGGGAACCACTATTGGGGAACCACCATTGGGGAACCACCATTGGGGAACCACCATTGGGGAACCACCATTGGGGAACCACCATTGGGGAACCAGTATTGGGGAACGACAGCTCGAGAACCACTGTTTGGGAACCAGTATTGGGGACCATATCAGAGCTGAGAGGAAGGAGAAGGGAGGAGGCACCGCTGCGGTTGTTGGTGGATCGGATCGGTCCCTTTTCCCTTCCTATGCATGGACATGCATGCCACTGCCACTCGCGCCTTTGTCCGTACGTGGTGCAGCACTGACTTGACTTGAACTTTCAATCCTGGCACAAAAAGTTAGTTGCAACGCTTCTCCTTTACTCAGGTCTACTGCGTCTTTCGCATCGTGTACTTGTAGGCCCTACAACAACAGCAACAACAGCGACAGCAACACCAATTCACCACAATAACGACGACGACAGTGCAAACAGCAACAGCAGCAGCAGCAACAACAACCTCGATGACGACAACAGCAACAACAGTAACAACAATGACATCGACAACAATAAAAAAAAAACATTCTCTTAACGACGACGAAAGCAACCAATGACAACAACAACAGCAACAACATAAACAACAACAACAACAACAACAACAACAACAACAACAACAACAACAACAACAAGTTCACCCACCCTTGCCGCGTTTATCCGGTCCTTGAGGGCAACCGCTTCCGCCGCGGGGTCATCCGCCCTGCTGATGCCTCGGGAAACGGGGACGAGAAGCCCCATCCCCCTCTTGTCTAACGCCGCCGAACACGCCTCATCTAGGTCTCCACCCTGGGCACCGACGCCTGCGTAGAGAAAAAAGAAGACGAACAATGTTCGCGGGCTATTTGAGCACGACGAAAAAAAGCACCTGTTTAGCACCTCCATTTAGGATACAGAAAAGTAGAACACGAAGATTCTTTGAGGGACGTGAATTAATCGACGGCCGAGAGCGCCTGAGGGGGATTCGTCCTGGGTCACCTCTGCTGGTGCGTCCAAATCATGCCGAACGGTGAACCTCGTGTCCGTAACCAAATAGATGGCAACAAGACAACCCCCCAAATTCGGTATTTTTTTCTCGTCCGCGATTATGCCTCCCTTAGAGTTCTTCCCTCCAATCAGCACCGGCATGAAGCGTGTTCCATGGCAGAAGAGAGGAGCTTCGAATTATTGACTTTACTATCTCCTGCCGTGGTTTCAGGTCACAGTCAATTTTAGTCTGTTTGAGATACACGGCGCCGTAGCTAACACCTACTTCTGCGGCAATAACACAGCCTCACATCTTTTAGAAAGGTATACTCCCCCCCCTATGGGGCCCCCTATGGGGCCCCCTATGGGGCCCCCTATGGGGGCCCTGTGGGGGACAGTTGGCTTGTGACCAGGGCAGGTGTCCGCGTCACTTGGACCAGTGCGGACATTAGAAGGTACTGAGTGGAGACCGGAACGGTCTTTCAGGTGAAGACAATAACAACAACAACAAGCCACTAGATCACGAGAAACACAACACTCATGAAATTTCATTTTTGGAGGTCTTCGCGCTGACATGACAGCACGTCACATCAGTGCCCACAGACGATGAAATATTATTGCTGCGTTCACTCTTGGTCAGAAGCCTTAACCTTCCCGATATTTTGGCAATCTTTGTCGTCGTGGCCGACAACCGGTGCCTTTGCTTGGCCAATCGTGCTGAATACAAGGATAGCATATGGTACCCAAAGAGGGTTGAGCAGACGGCAACTCTCACGTCCTACAACAGATGGGGTTGGTTGGCTCCGACAGACGATCAAATATTTTGCTTCGCTCACTCTAGACCAAAAAGCCTTCGCGATTTCCTGGCAATTGTTGTCGTCATAGCCACCGACCGATAAACTTGCAATTCCCGTCTTGCTACAAAAAGTGCCTGTGGTATATTGTGTATGAACCTATCCTCCCAAAGGTGGCACCAGTACTTAAACAGGTCGAACACATAAAAGTTGAAAGTTCTCACGCACAAAGCAGATGAGGCTGAAGGTTGGCTCCGACAGACGATGAAATATTTTGCTTCGCTCACTCTAGACCAAAAAGCCTTCGCGATTTCCTGGCAATTGTTGTCGTCATAGCCACCGACCGATAAACTTGCAATTCCCGTCTTGCTACAAAAAGTGCCTGTGGTATTT